GGTGATGGAAGACCTGGCAGCTGAGTTTCCCAGAGTGAAGCAAGTATAAAGTCTCAATGTGCAATTAAACTCACTTAACTTTGGTCTTCAGGTTGGTACGAATTCTGAATGAGCAAGCAAAAAGTTCAGAATAAGATATGGAACAAGTATACTTTGATGAGGGAGTTTACAATAAGTTTATTGTGGAACTACGGTCAAACCATGAAGCTAGCAGCAGTCAGCCCCTTTAATTGCAATGTTTTATTATCCTTTGTAACGACACTTATTTTCAACAAACTTGCTTAATTTCCGGTATAAGTAGGTTTCGAAACTATCAATAATTTTTGAATAAGAAGTTAGTCATCTTAGGTCTTAAGGGACTGATAGTTGAGTTTGCCCAGAATAAGAGAAGGTCTTAAGATGTCATTCATTATCGACGTTAACAATCCATAACACGCCCACGGGTGCCAATGGATTGGATTACAAGCCAGACTTCATTCAAAACACATTTGTGGTGGGGAAGGGGGGTGGATTAAGTAGGCATGTATGTACCATTGTAACAGACTATCACTGATTTTGGGCATGAGATCTCGAGAATCAATGATTTTGAATAAAAACCTAATCACTATAAATAACTTAAGGTTATTTAATGACCGATGATTGAATCAGTCCACAATGAGATGCGGTTAATGTAGCCGGTTGCAATGGCAAATACACGTTTGCTTAAAATAACGACCCCTCTTTAAATGTGGCCTTAAATGCTACAGCTGTCCTGTGGCCCACTGCCACCCGTGGATATGTAGCCGTGGTAACGCCACCACGATACGACCAGATATCGAATCCAGTTAGGGATGCTGATGAGACCTAGGTGAAGTCGAAGCCGCCATCAACCCTAGATGAGATAGTCTTTTGGCAGAAAAGGCTAAATTAAATTCAATGGCATCGTGAAGATTATTCAGCTTATTATGGGAAAGCTCAACTAATAGACCTTAAATCAACTAGACTCTAACACATTTGACCAAATCTTGCTTACTGGAAACCATGCCACTCAAATTCACTAGTACTTAAAGGAACATAG